CAGATCACAAACATGTCAAAGAAGACGGGAAAATGCGCGATCACCCCACCCACCCAACCCCCGCACACACACAGAGGATTTTGTATGAGCAGACAAAAGATCTATATGTGTATGAAAACACGGTGTCAACTGGGCTGGAGGAAGAGCACATGTGACGCAATCGGAATAGACATGAAAAAAGCATAGAAGCCAGCATAACCCTAGAAAGGACTATCGAAAGACAATGCACAAATAGTATAGCATATGGGGAGGGACCTGGATCGGAATACGTTTCGGAGATAAACAGGATAGTAGGTGGGTTAGAGCGAGAGCTGTACACAAGCGAAAAAGAAATTTTCGAGAGGAACGAATTGATTGTGATTCCGAACAGTTGTTTGATGAAAGCGCAATCGATCGAATGTACAGACAAGGGGAAGCGTACTGTGTATGCCGCGAAGAGAAGAGGTGAAAACATGCTTGATCGTACGACAAACTGCGGGCGGAAGAGTAATTTACATGGGATAGGGAACAACCCGAGCGAAAAGTTCAGTGCTGGAGCATAAGAGGAAAACATCATGGGTTAAGTGCAAATGGAACATGGTAGATAAAGCCTAGTAGTGAACGGATAGAAAAAGGATCAAAACAGAATAACCGTCAAAAGCGTACACACCAGGATATGAACGCGCGGAAGACCACGATTCTCAATAGCAATACAAGAGACAAACAACGGTCAAGCATTCACGGATAAGTGCATAGAAACGTCGTGATTGATGGTATCACAAGAGAGAGAGCAACAGTTTAAATAAGACCTAGGAGGTAGAGAGAAAGGAGCCTTGGTTCGTTCTTAGATTGACCGATAGAAAAGAGGGATAGATCCTAACAAGTTTCATTGATATGTTACATTCAGTTGCTTGTGGCTGAGTGAGTGTGCGTATTTTTTTTAGAAAAAAGAAACAATACATCAAACGTAAGTATACAATCGGACGATAAAAAGATCATTTTTGCAATAGGCATGTAACGAATTTAAGTGGTTCTAACAAGCTCTCGCTTAGCACAGAACACAAAACTGGTGCAGCGGTTCAAACATCACAAATCGGACATCAAGAACGCAGAGCGGATGTGGCCACGAAGGGCACAGAAGGCAACGAGATTGGTGTGCTAGACAAAGATGAACAAGGAGGATATTCAGTGGCATACAAGAGCGGAGGAGGAACACCACGCGCCTCAGATGGATTGGACAAAGTTCTTAAGGGTGATCTTTGACCTTCATGCAATCCAGAACGGGTGGTTATTGTGGATGACAGGGGGCCAACCATATCCCCGTCATCCGGTGATATAACCGAGACGGGAGACAGAGCAGGTGGACTGGATGGGAACGCCTGGGAAACCGAGGCAGATGGCTGGAGACGAGAATATTTGGCCCAAGAATGCTCTGGATCGGTCACACTCCATGCACGTTTTCGTGGTGGAAGTGAATGGATGTGCATCGAGGAAGACACCGCGACTGCTGACGATGTAGTTGCACTCGGGTCATGGATTGAGCTGATTAATTGAGGTGCAGTGTAAGTTAACTTGGGACGCGAGAACTCGTCTATGATTAAATCCTGCAGTGATGCATGCATGGATTTTGACCGACCAGTCAGCAATGCCGGTGCACGCAAGTTGGACTCAATAGAAACAGACCGTTCAGCCTTGAAAGAGCCGGAACAAGAAACGGATGAATTCGCATAGGAGTACGGCGTGTTATGAGAATTATGCATGGGAAGTAAAGGCGGTGGGGGTGGTATAGTACGTGAACTGCTAAACCTAACAGGTTCTTCTGGGGAACGGAACAGAGTAGGAGCTTCAGTTGGTAGGTTTGAATGAGAAAACTCCGTAGTAGACGTGGATAAAGGGACAGTGGATTGGGGCGAGAGCCGAGGTAATGACCGTCGTACACGATGAACCGAACGAGACTTTCCGGACTGCGTTCGAGAGGACCCAATGGGACACACTGGAGGGACATGTGTCAACAAGGGTGGATTGGAGGGAGGAACACATAGAATGGTGTCACCGCCAGTATTAACAGCAGACGTTGTCGTCGTCAGTGGCGCTGAAACCGAACAGTACAACGACGGAATAGTTGATGATTGTCCGCAGTCAGATGTTCTACACTCGTGATTTGCCGGTGGGTTGTGTACAGCAGACGATCGAGTGGTATGTAACGCAGTAGACAGGAGCCGAGCGGCTTCAATTTGATGGCGTCGAACTAATTCTTGATTTGCATTTGATAATTGTGAAATCTGAAGGCGAGAAGACAACAGAGAACGCATAAAGTACGTGTTTCAGCATATACGTGGTTGAAAAATGATACGAAAAGTACGTATGCGGTTGAATCATCCCTGATTTTATTCAACCCATTAGGCCGGGATGATGAAGATTACTAGTGTTAACAGAACCACAAAGTTGTAATTAATTCGTATTATTAAATATGAGCATTTACTTCCATCAAAGATGAAGGCTCAATAGCCCAATTAGAGCGGCTGATTATTTAGCCTCAAATTATGTTCCCCGAGGGCATTTGATACATTTACTCATGACCGAATTTCGAACAGATTAGTAACCATGATGAGTGGATGCCGCACCCGCTACTGTACAGAGTACGCACTACCAGTTGAGCTACAGCATCATATTAGCAGCTTGAATGGTTTTGCATTTGATCGCTGGACTAAAAATAGAGGCCTGTCAACGATCTGCCAAAATAGTCATAATTTGGGCAATTCACTCGGTCGTTTAGTTCACTTGAAGCATTCCGCTTACTTCTGATAAAAAAACATGCCAGGGCAGTAAGTTCATGTGCAAGCTGGTGTTCCCCAGTGCGTCTGTCGGATTTGTGTGTGTAGTGAAGTCGACGAAGCTTTGTAGCACAACTGGTACGCTGTATGGAGGTGCTATAATGGATTCGAACCCCGTCGAGATTACTGACTTTTCACAATAATAAGAAATCATCTTCGACTAATGGAGTCCATAATCGTAGATGAACAGTTTACTTAAAAAAGCGGGGTGATGAAGCAGTGAACTTCTGTAATCACGAGAACTCATTATTCCGTTATGGGAACCGGCGAACTAAGTTCTGAAACCTGGAGCAATGAACTACATGGTCCTAGGTGATACTATATAGATGTATACATGTGTGTATCGTATCAGGCCCTTGTCAGTACCTTGAACAAACAGTAAGATAAATTCATTCTTTCATCAAGGAACTAACCGGCAGACAACGAAATATGGAAGTTCGAATGGAAATAATGAGTTTTGGTGACATTTTAATTAGCCTTGGTTACTCATAATAAAGTTATTTTAGTTGCACTGACGAAGAACGGTGGCAGAGGACACTTTCACTGATCCAGTGGTAAATTGGATAACCGCTGCCCAAGTCAGCCCGTTCGGCGCACATCTCGATTGGGCGACCGACATGAAAATAGCTAAATTTTGTTGTTTTTCACGTCATTACAGTTAAAAGCAAACTCAACGCATGCGAAACCAAATGACCAGCCTAAAGGATGAACTAATACGACCGTGCGTCACGTGAGAGATCGCGCTGGAAAGTAGGCATATTTATGTGTCGAGTAAAAGGAATCGTATAATCCAGATATTGGACCGGATAACAAAAGTACAACAGGACAGGCCTTTCACGAGAGGGCACAAAACTGGTACCGATCGATCGCGATTCAACGAAGGCTGTATGAGAGAGCTATCCGCACGCAGAGGTATTCCCAATGCGAATCGGTAAAGCTGATGTGCTTGGTCGGTAGGTTCCGTGTGACGGGATGAGAATCGATCATCCGTCATAAGGTGCGACAAAATCGTTTCGTTTCATTGCATGCTATGGCTTATAGCGCGCGACAGGAATGATTCACCGGTAACGTCATTAGAACGCGTGGTTATCTGGCTCAATACCGCACTTAGCACATGTTTGCACGTTATGCGGTAATCCATTTCAAGGGCTTAACCTACCGGGTTTGCATGATGGAACAATGGGTCCAAATGGCCATGGCTGTGGTGGCATCTGCAGTGCATCATACCGCATATGCACCGACTAATAAGGAGGACATTGCCGCTCAAGTTGGTTGGACCACCCTTACGATGAGTAACAGAGTAATTTCCAACTCAAGATAGTCTGCAATCAGGCGCTGAATGCATATCATCACTCGTGTCTACCCAACAGCTTTGCTCTATCAATTATCCCGATTGCAGCAGCTAAACTTTCNTTGAATATACAAAGATACAATTTTCAGGAAGGGGGAAGCGGCCAATCAAAGGGCTGCCATTCAACACACAATGGGGGAAATCAGGCAGTGGTGGTGGGATTCGAACTCACATCCACGGGTGATAATTTGGTGACGTTACCACCGGTTCATCTTAAAAGAGGAAGGATGCCTATCGGAAAGTGTTCCAGACGATGAATGGGTTCCACTTGGACCTAGTGCTTACGAATCTCTCTCTCTCTCTCTCTCTCTCTCTCTCTATAT